AGGTATAGAAATCTATATATTTTAATTGTTTTTTATTTGATTTCCTTTTAATATACACGTGTAGTCTATAGCCGCGGACCCGGTCTTTGACTTCCCTGTATAAACGTCCATACTTAATCACTTAAATCTACTCGTAATTGTTCAAAAATACTTTTTAGAATATTTCTGCAAATGATACGTTTCTATTGTTTTTATCAATATTTGAAATACTTGGAAAAGTGCCAAGTGTAAACCAATTTACAATAATATGTAAAATGAAATTAATGTCCTGCTTTTTTCACAAAACTTCCATTTATATGAATGTATAGAATGCAACTGTTTTGTGTTGATTTTCTAACTTCAATACTATACCATGTAATATTCAATGTAAGAAAACATACTCATTAGATGCAGTTGTAAACTTTTAATTTTGAAAAGTAATCATTATATATTACCTTCAGAGGGATCTGATATTCATTTAATTATACTGAATATAATCTACCTAAACAATTATAAGAAAAACGATATGGCTTATTTTCAGGCTTAAATTATTCTAACAAGTTTACAACAGTGGAGTTGATGTATTTTCTTACAAAGTTTGATGTCTATACGATGTAAACCTGTGAATTACAAAATGTGTCTAGTTTGAGGCGCATTCCGGGGTAATTCTGTAATATCAGTGGTTAAAAATATGATGAATAACATACACACAAAGTTATTAATTGATGCATTATAGTAATTTTACAGACATTGTGTTGCGAGGAATTATATTCCATATTAGCATTCCCTAATATCTTTGTTCATTTACATTAATTGTTAAATGTAAGCTTAAGATAGCTGAATAGCAACTGCCATTGATTCGTTTGATTATTACCTATAGATTATATATTGGACCTCTACCAAGATTGTTTAAATTCTCCTGGGGTCAAAGTTGGTCCCGCCCAGGGGTGATGTGTTTCCCGTAAATGTATGTATACAGTAAAAATGTTAAAAATCTTTTTCCTAAATCTACAAGGGCTATAGCTTAGATATTTAGCATGAAACGTTGTCTAGTGATATCTATTAAGGTTATTCGAATAATGACTATAGGGGTCACAAATGGCTTTGCCCCAGGTGGTAATGGCTTTTCTTCAAATCATCGTTAGATAATGGAAGGGAAACAACTCAAATTTGAATGCCTAGCAAGAGTTTGCTTTGCAGGGATATTTAAGATATGATTTGAGCACAATTTAAGGATATTATGATTCACACCATGTAAATTATGTTTTAAATTGTTAATATTTTTATGTTTTCAGAAATAGGTAATGCTCAATTGAAAAGATAATATTTTAGAAAAATAACTAACTGCATACAGCTATATGTATGTAATACCTTAAATACCAAGTTTTTCATCGAATAAGACTACTTTTGTTTTGGACCAAATATCATACTATGGGCTATCTGTACATAGTCTTTCATTTGACATGCTGAAATATGACCTTTAACCCAACATTCAAATACTACTGCATTAAGGACAAATTCAATATGGAAATAATAAAAATTTACATCTGTTCCTACTATTTAGTGTTGTATTAATGCGGTTGCATTGCATTATTTTCACAAATGCATTCTTGTTTTTCTAAAACTTTACAGAATTATAATGCATTTTTTTAATTCTCCTCTTAAATCCTTCGATCAATTTGAATAGAGCCAAAATGTTTATAAACCCCTATAACTACATTTGTAAAGTTATTTCATTTTTATTTGGAAAACATCTTGAAATTCTGTATACATATGAGGTGTACTAATCCCGTTAAAAATGCCTGAATTTCAAAAGATGACGTGAACAAGATGGTGTTTGTGCTAGTCTTCCAAAATATCTTTAAATGCTTAAAATTAAGTAATCTTCCGTATTTTGTAACTTTTCAACATCATTAAGTCCAGTATGTTTTTTTAATGTAGCAATGCAGTTTTAATATTTTCCTTAGTTATTCAAATTTGTAAAATAGAGAAAAAAAAAAACAATCCCTAAAGAAAGCCCAACACGACAAAATTGAAAATGTTGCAGCTGTAAAAAGTTGCCCCGAACTTCACTTCATTGTTGTTATATTGTTCTGGTCCTTCGGGATCATTGATGCCAGCATTATTAAGTGTTGAGAATTGAGTACCGCTCAAGCTTGTGTTAGAGGGTGTGAGGGATGTTGTACTGATTCATTATCCCTCATCATGTACAGACTCACTCAAATCGAGTCTGCATATTTTATGTAATTTTGTTGCGATTTATGCTTCCGACGAATCAGTTTGTTTCCAGTTTGATTAAGCATGTCCATGGTACTTGAATGTGCAAATTACGTCCACGCCCCTTCGCACCGACTTAAGCAGAATTCAACATTTAACACAAAAATGACGAAATTTTGTAAATAGAGACATCCGCAGATGTGTTCATATTGTGAAAGTCATTTTCAAAGTCAAATATTTAGATTATCATCAATAATTCAGATAACCCCTAAATGATTCAGCAAACACATAGGGAACTTCTTGTTCGGACCCAAATCCTCGAAGACATTATAGCGTTTAATCATACTGTAATAATAACTTTACTGTGAAATCCCTCCCCTCCAAATAAATTATTAAATGAATAAATGCACTTTCTTTTGTACATTTCGCACGATCATATAAAAACGAAAAATAAAAATTAATTTTACCTTCAGAAAATTTGATATCATATTAAAACATCTGATAAAGTAGTCCCGAAAAATGTATATGATATATATTTGACTGATATTACACCATATTTCGTGGGTAACATTAAATAATTAACTGTATTTGTTAGATACCCGCCTTTACAGAATAAAGATAAAAAATACCGATAGTAATTACTTCCCCTTATCAGTACAAGATACGAGGTTACAAAGTCGTAATGTTCATATTCAGATCTCGTGTATTTGATTGGTTTAAAAACGACACAAAATGTATTTTTTGAAGAACCTTTCTCGGACCTATTCCCTCCTAAGAAAATGGTTCTTCGAATAAAAAAGTGAAACATAATTTCTATTTTTCAAAGGTTCGACAATCTACCTAATTACAATCTCTCTTAAAAGTCAAATTGTTAACATCATTATTTTTGAATTGTTATACAGTAATGTTTTACTTAGAATGGTTACTAGACAATCAACTTAATTGTCAATGAAAATATAGTCTCGTCATGAATGCTGACTTTTCGATATAAATGATTTATTCCGTTTGGGGCATGTGTGGCCGGGTGGTTATGGTCGTAAATCAACGTGCTCCTTAACCGGTGTTGGTTTTTTTTTAACTCCCGATATTAGTTCAAACATTGACTTTTAACATTTCTACCATTTAAAACGAGGCTTTTACATGTTTTAGTTTGATAGGGACGACCTTAGTGACGACCGTGATTGATCTCAAATCAATTGCTCCTCACTGCTGTGATTCAAATTTCGAAAGGTTTTTTTTAAAGTCTTTCATTTGAAAGGGCTATCCAGCTTGCTTTACGGAAGTCGGTGGTTCTACTCTTGCAGGTCTTCTTTCACTGGTATAGCTTGAAAATTGCACTATGCCTTTACTGTGTCGGTGTGACTTAATCTTCCACTCTTACATTGAATCAATAATGGGATTTAACCTTTAAGTAAATCCAATTTTTGTAATTAAAATTACAATCAAACCCCTAAGTCAAGTCAAACCCCTTGCTGTATACTCAATAAGCAAAACATGTCTGGTTTGATTTGGTACCAATCATAACGAATGTCTGTGTAAATATCTGGTAGAAGGTGATCCCTTGGAAGCATTTAAAACAGCAAAATTACATGAAAATTGCAGACTCGGTTTGATTGGGTTTGTACATGAGGGATAATGAAAAAGTGCGAACATCCCTCACGCCCCTAGCACCAGCTTGAGCGGTACTCAATTCTCAACACTTAAAAGTGCTGGACTCAATGATCGCAAAGGACCAGAAAATATAACAACACTTAAGTGAATAACGGGGCAACAATCTAAGGCTGCCACACAGCACTTGGCACCTGCTGTTGTTATGTATAAATATCTGGCAATAAAAGTGATCCCTTGGAAGCATTAAAAACAGCAAAATTAAATGAAATTGCACTCGGTTTGTAAGTCACACATGTTTTATGACACCTTTTTGACTGAATTGGTAAATGAAGACTTTTACAGTCACTCTGTTCATTATATTAGGCACGTGTGTAAAACCAATGGTCTTTTATAAGTCATCTTAATAGATTTTTCACATCTGAAAGTATTACATGTCACTAGCGATAATTCGAATCTAAAACAGTCGGGGATGTGGTTATGGCAAGCAAAACGGATCTTCATCTTGACACACTGAATGGCGGTGTCCATAATGTTTTTCTTAACAGATCAGTTACAGTCGGCCAGCTACCTACACAGATGGCTATATCTTTTAATTATTTAAACATCTTATACTTCAAAAGTATTCAAAAATATAGAATAAAAAAAATAAAAGTGCTAGTTTTAAAATTGAGCAAAAAGTCTTATTGTGCTAGTCTAATATCTATTGTTTTCACTAATAGGGATGAGGAATATATCATGTTGTTGGCTTCATATCTAGTCATTAGGTACAAAGTTGAAAATGGTGATAACTGATTTGTTATTCCTGCCCCATGTCGTTTTGCTCCCCTTAATGACGTTTCTTTGTAATGTATGTTCCTAATGAACTCGCCAAACCTACTGTTCATATAATTTAGATGTAGAAGAAATGCTGCATCACAACATCTGTATAAGAAACATGCTGACTACTGTGGACCAATATAACTGACCCTTGTGGTGAGGGTTGCCTTTAATAGTTGAGGCATCAGACTTTATCCCTTCTTGAATAGATGCGACTAAATGGGTACGAATAACTGGAGTATATGCATCTCTTAGCTCTAGCCAGGTGAGGTTGTTCTGACCCCAAGTATTGCCACACCTTTCCTGTTTCGGCAGCATATAACCTCAATTTTGTAATCAAACAAAAACAAAAACAAAAAAGTATAACATAAACTAACTAACGTAATGACATTATTTAATTTACAAGCATTTTTAAATTACATGACAGAAAAAGATCGGTTGACCAAAATAGATAAAGCAATTACAGGAGCAATAACTGCATGTTAAAGGAAAACAAGTCAAGTAAGTAGTTTTAAAATAGAACTGTGGCGCATGACGCACATGACAAAGCAGTCTAAGAAACTGCGAAAAATTTATTTCATAATTCGATATTAGGTACACAGTTAAAAATGGTGATAAAAGTGAAATTGACCTGCAAACGTGATTTTTCTTTCGTCCTTTTTATTAAAAATCTGTATGAATTTCAAATGTTCTTCTTTGAGTACTGCTTACGAATCTATTTTCCTCTTAAATTATTACAACAATTTAAACGTTCATTGCGCAATACAATAAAATTAACAAAATGATTATGTCACTCGATGAATGAAGACCACATGATCATTTAAAGGCACGTGACTCACTCCCTGTCAATGCTTTTGGATATTTCCCCTGTATATGCTGGCATGTAACTTTTTGAGTTTGCCTGTAAAAAAATAAAATTCATCATAATGATATTCCCTCTTCAAGAATGTATATTTAATATATAAACTGTTTGATCGATAAAGAGCTACATTATCAGTTATATGTCTGTTTATGTAAGATGTATACAAAATGAAATTATTGATCTAGATAAAGTGATAATAAGCTTTTAGCAACAGCAAAGATAAAGCGAAAAGTTACCACAATTGCTGTTTAAAACACACATTTGTTATTCCTGACCGGCTCCATGTTAAAGCACACATTTGTTTTCTAATTCCAATTACTTAATAATTTTCAATTTTCAAACTTGAAATATGAACAATTACTCCGAATATTTGACTAAAGGTAAACAAGCATCAATATATGGCAATCGCAGGATTAATTAAAGAAGAAAGATAAAAATAGATATTCAAAATGCTATTGAATACCGTGGTAAGAAGAGAGACAAGTTCGAAAGAATTTATAGAACATGCTACTATGAAGAAATCTATATTGTTTTGTTTTTTCACACCCTATAGAACAAAATAGAAAATAAGAAGATATGACAAAACAGGGCAATATCTATGACACAATATACTTTATTCATTAGACTATAAAGGTATATAAGGTCGTTATCAATTAAGACCATTTACCTTCCTGTCTCTATGCCTTCTTTGAATTACCCGTCGGCTACATATGGACACACGATCAAAACGATTAGCACACACAATAAAGTCGTTGTTCTTATATTTCCAACATAAACAATATATGATTATGAAAACGCTTAGGATTGTGAGAGAGTGAACACGCAGTTTTTTTTTGTTTTTTTTTGTTCTTTTTTTTATTTCAATATTTGACTTCGCTTTTAAGTATGGATTTGATAATCTTAATCTGAGCTATTACTTTCTCATTTGCAAACAAACTTTATAAAGTGCAGAAGTCATCAAGTAAATTAACATTTGGCAAAAAATTAAAACATAGAAAAACATTCGCCTAACAAAGACAATATGTTTTTGTGCCTTTTTATTTTCTTGAATATGTTATGCATTATGAATTTGTATTTTATTAGCATAAAAAAAGATTTAACCCTCAGCATGCAAAAGAAAAATCATGATAATTCGCGAGCTGCAAGGCGGCAGTAAAACGGTGCACTGTATGATCAAACAGACAAAGACATTTTGATTTGATATTTTAAATATCTGGCATAAATAACGCGCTTATGGTCCAATAAATAACAAAGTTCTTATTTTCAAAGGTGGTCTAGTCAGACTTGCATTAAGACGCATATACCTCTAACAAAATAAACAGTGTAGAACAAGATTTATTTTTTTTATTTTACAAGCAACGTTTTTGACTATGCAAAACAAAGAATAAAAGGTTTTTGACTAAAGTAAGAAATAAGCAAAGTATATGAATTAATATTTAAATATTATACGAACAATTTTTATAATTATAAAGTGTACGGTGTTCGCCGTTCACGTGCCATTTAATTGATTTAATTATTGTTCAACCTCCAGAAAGCAACAAGATGTACACCATTTAGGTGAATAATAGAAATACCCATTAAAAGCACAATGAATGTGTTGTTATTTTGTCCGTTTCTACAACACAGAAAGTTTTTTATTCGAAATTATTCAACCGACGATATTTTTCGAACCAGTAACAAAGTTGAATGAATGCACTGAAATGTTTGAACAATACGTGAATATGATATTTGATCTGAACAAAGACATCAGTTCAGCCTATTCTCTATCAACAGTCTTTGATAGTTCCCCTTTGTATTCCGGTTGAACATTCTTTCCATTTGCCTGAAGAACAATAAATTATCCTCAATATGTTTATGGTAAGAAAGTTTGCACGACAATTTATGCACTTCTCTTGAATTCAATAACATAAACACATGTTTTACCATTTTTGCTATTTTGTAATATAATTATTGAAATATCCATTATATTTATGTTAAACTGAGATATCTAGACTCAATATTGTTTTCTTCACCTGAAAAACCAATCCTTTTTAGGTTTTAGAACAAAAATCAGTTATTTACAAATTATTCTCCATTTCTAATAAAATCGTATTTTATGTATATACAACGGTATTTTTTAGTTTTTTTTTTCAAGTATCTAAATTGTACTAAAACAAGCGGACATGAAACCAAAAACTAAATTTCATATGAAGCTTTTTGCGCACGACATTTAAAGATAAAGCTGCGACAGCCGTGAAATGTTTGCCAGTGTCTAAAATATTAGTCATGCCCATTTATGTGAACATTAGGTTAGCCATGCTTGCCGTAGTATCAACTTACATATTAGTTTCTTCCTTTTTTTTTTATTTATTCTGTGTATTAGTATATATGTTTGCATAAAAATTGTAAATGATATTTGATATTATTTACCTGTGGCAACCTTTGCTCTATACTGAAAATTTCGTATATTTCCGTAAATTCAGTTCTGAATTGTCTAAGATTTGTTTGATTCTATTTAAAAAGGAGACACAATCATACACAAAGTGTAAAGATCAATATTTTTCCGCGAACACTATTTGGACTTTTATAAGAGTGCTGATATTATTAACATATTATTTATATGATTCATTTATTTAACGCCTAGTTGCTCTTAACAATGATATAACGCGTCTATGACACATCAGGCATACAATGCCATCAAGTTCAATAAAATCAAATCAAAGACAAGAGCAGAATAAAAGATAATGAATAAGTCATTCTTTACTCCGCCCTTCCCCGTTGATGTTTCATTTCATATTTTACTGTAGATGAAATTTTATATTTTAACAGTCATACTTTTATTAAATTTATAAGTATCACATTTGATACAAGTATGTTATATAATATGTCCAGTTAAATCACTAGTATACTGTATGTACCTGCAGTTATTAGTGTTTGTATTTGTACAAGGAATAATGGTCAAAGCGTTTGTGCAAGGAGTGGAACTATAAACGTTATTATAATTTGTACGATTTTGTTTCCTTTTGACTATTGAAACGGAAAACCTTACTAATACTTCTTAACAAGATATGCTTTGTGAGTGATAATTCATATGTTTGTTTGTTTGTTCGATTGTTTGTTTGTTTATATCACATAATGTGAACAAAAAGATAAGAAACCTGATTTAAGTCCTATCTATAGTCTTCGAAATTTCCCCCGTATAGTGTGGCTGACGTCCTTTCTCATTTGCCTATAGAAATAAAATAGTGTTATGTGCATTCGGGGAAAAGCTTTGCGTGGACCTTGAAATGACCCATACCTCGATTGTAGTCTTTATTTGTCATGACACCTCTTGGTATATCGTGTCAAAGACAGCGTAAGGATCACAGAAAACGAGCAAATATGAGGATAACAGAAATATCATACAGTTAACCTTTTTGTGATGTTCATTTTTTTTTCTAAAAAAAAGTAAAGACTCAATAAAGCCGAGTTTGAAATATTTTCAACTTTTTCCTTTTATTTTTATTGCTCTCCATGGCTGTTTTTCTTTAAATCTAGAATGTGAAAACTTTAATTATCAAATGATATGAATGCATTACTTGCTAACTTTAAAGCAGCTGACCTCCAGAAGATAGCAGAAAACTGTCGGCCTGCTAATATTTCAAAATCCCCCCTCAAAAACATTATATAGTTTAAAGAAATCGAAATGACAACTTCAAAATGTTCATATTTTAACATTGTTGCTCTGAACACAAACAGTTTGCTTTTCCACCAACGGGAAATACCTTCTTTTATTATACCACGGTATTCTTTCAATCGTTTCTTTTTTCTAGTATCACGTGATCGTACATGACAATATCGCAACCGGTGCTCCGGAACGCACGGAATCCTGGATTATATCAAACATATAGGGATAAGAATAACTGCTTTTGTTTTTATATTTGTAGTAATTCGTCGCACTAAAAATTATAATTGTTTAATTATTCCATATATATGATGACCAATAAATCGATTTAACCTTTAGCTTTAAATATGATTGGGGCCTACTTAATGACGAAAAATGATAAACGATCCCATATATTAACGCTTTTTTCAACATTCTTTCTTTAATTAAGGTGTCAGTAATGATGGATTTACACAATAAACCTAACTAGATCAGTATTTACCATTTACTTGAACATTTATTTCATTTTTTTCAATTTACCATCTGGAGGTCAGTAAGATTTAAGATAATTTTGTAAGCACATTTGTTAAAGAAAATCCAGTATTTTATGGTAAACTTGCAATGTTACAAACATTTCAAGACAAAAACCGGACTCTTATAATAGCAAACTGGTCAATGGTTATTACAAACAAAATATGCCTTTTTAACACAGAGAAAGAATAGCTTCTCAGGTAGATTCTACTCGTTTTCTGTAATCACCTGTGCGTCAGTTGAACAGGATACCGGATTGATAACAAAACTTAGCGAATATACCTCTACTGACATAACATTCTATACGAATAATAGAACTACAATCGGATATATGTGTACATTTCATGCGCAGAAATAAAAAGAAATAAAGGTCTACTTTTACATTCACAAAATTATATAATAAACATGCAGGAATTGTGAAAATAAATGAAGCAAAGACAAAAGGTGTAGGTAAAATAATATTAAGCAGAAAATAAAAAAAGAAAGAAATAAATAAAGTAATGAGATGAAATTAAGATAATTGTAATAAAGTAAAAGAAGAAAGTTTAAATAAAAAGAGAGAACAAGACAGAATGGAAAAAAGTATCCGTGCATCACGATAATTTATAAAAAAGTATCATAATGCGTCCGTTCAATACATGATGTTTACTTACAACAAACCCTAAACTGTGCAGACAGTTCAAAACATTGAAGAATCCGGCTTTTCTAAGTTCCCATAAGTCGCCTGATTGGAAAGTAAACTCTTTTGCCATACCATAATCCATACAGCCTTTGTTAAAGTTCTCGATATTTGTCATGGCGACAAATGGGGACATAACCTTCTTTTGGAACTGAATTGGGCTTTTTCCGTCAGCCTTCAACAACTTGTTTATCAATCTAAAATTCAAATGTGACATTTTTATTTAAACAATATTATATCAACAAAAGATACAATGCTGCTAGTAGATTAGTTTCTTATTTCATAATATGTATAACATACAATATCTTGTTAATTCTACAACGTACTTTGAACATCTATGCTTACGAAAAAAGCATCACATAAACAGCAGCAACATTTTTTTTCACAGGTAAGTCATGTGTCATTTTCATTCCAATATCTTGTACCATTAATGGCAATAAATCGCCCATACCCGTAACAAAATGAGTTAACATTCTATGTTAAATAAATACAAAAAGTATTGCAAATGACTTACTACCAGTTCGTCAAACATATGAATTCACGATATAATTAAAACAAAAATAGCAATATCAAAGATATTCCCTTATCGATGATAATTATGAAAGTTCTATAGTTAAAGGATATTCTATTATGAGATAAATACGGCAGCATATCAACGATAAAAGGATTACTTCAAAAAGGGAAAGGAATAATAAAATACAATAGTCGGTTTGATTTTATTCATCAAAGTTAATTGCCTCTAAACTGTCATAAACCCCCCATATCAGAAACCATAGTGAAGGAGAACATACAAATGAATAAATGAGTGAATGAGTACATCGAGGCAATACATTTATCATAAAGTCAAGTAAATTCAGCTTATTTTCTCACTTTTCGTGTCTAATATGCTCTGACCAAACAAAGTGAATGTTCGATCAGAAACGTCTTCTGTAATAAGTCACATCGATAAATCTTATTAAGTATAACAAACTAAAATTAAAGTTAATCCCTTTATTCAACAACAAACAATAAAAAACCACTGAATGTGACGTAGTTGGCTGAATTCACATGAGCTTTAAAGTTAGTAAATAACATAAAAAAGTTAACCCTTACCCTGCTTGGCCAAACGTTTTAAACCTTTGCCGTCAACAAGGAGCCTTGTCAGCTGGCACACGTGGCTGTCCGGCAAGGCTCTACAATGTTGGCAGACTTATTCTTTAAAGTGACATTGTGCTCATTTGCTTTTGGTGTCAGGTTGAGTTAAATTCATATCAGTTTCAAAAAATTGACTTTTATATTGGTGATTCACCAATAACTGATAATGAAAAATGTTTTAATATAAAATTAAAAAGGACCTAAATATAGAAAAAAATACTGCCCAATCATTTTTAAGAATTGAACGCTAAAGATACATTATGAAAGCTATTTATAGAAAATTATGTTGGTAACATGTATTATTTATTATTTTTCCGTAGTCAATTATGAATATGAACACAATTATGGCAACATCTTAAGCTGTTTTAATTTTTACCTGTTAACTGACTATTTATATTTGTATGGGCATAATGTCACTTTAGACTTCAAAGAAAAATTGATTATGGACAGCTTCTTAATTTGAAACTGGCCAAATACATTTAGAAATTCAGCAGGTTAAGGGTTAAAGGAGTGGATGACTAGATAAGTATCTAGACTGGTGTTAAAGAAAAAGAAATATTCGATTAAGGTGAGACATTTCTAATTTTGAGTAATATTGGGTGTTCTAAAATTCCACCTACATTTGATAGCTATCCATCGGCTGTTTCCCCCAGTGAATCAGGTTCACCTGGAGAGCATAAAATCATGTAAGTCCTCTGTTATTTGTTTTTTTAAAAAAAACTTAATGTAAAATAGTTATATGAAACACGTGATCTAGACAAGAGGACAGTTTAAATAGCTTGGATAAATGAACAATAAAGAACCCTGAACCAAGCATTTATGTGTTTTTTTCTCTCTACAAAAATGCTAAAATTGAAATGAAATAAATAAAAGCACATGTTTGCTAAATAACCAACTGATTTCAAAGGAAGTTTCTTTCTTGTTCGATCTGTATAATCTACCTTTCCCCCCTAAAAACCTTTTTTTATTTTATGTCTTCTTGGCAAGAAATTAAAGTCAATGCTTGCTTTAATTCTAAGTCTTCTGGAAAGTTTTATTCATTGTTTCTGATACTTTAAAAGTGAAACTTTCAAAATTGCACTCTGCGTCTAGCGATAATAAGAACCCTTTTAGGATTATCATACATGATCTATTTCCAAAGTTACTTCTTTTTTTATTTAAAGAACTCCACTGAGGTCCAAAAGTCTAAAAACATAATGTTTAAGTATCTTAGTTAATAAGCATGGGCACTTAAGAAAGTGAGCCATGCACAAATAATTAAGAAATATACACAGAAATAAATTGAAAATCGTTCTATTATGCTATTCTTAGCTCAATCTGAGTGAATAGCATTGCACACCTTTTTAATGTCGGGTTATTTTTTTCACACAATGATAATTGTACAAGTGGGCCAATGACACATGCTTTTGGTCTAGTTCTACATCGACATCTCGAAAACAAATATTTCCAGTCTTGTCATGTCAAAAAAACCCTCAGTGAAGTCCCTTAAATATGATGGAAAATCTTATCGAGGTAGTGGTAGATGATACAGATCTTTTTAAAGACATTGACGCTGAAATAAAGCATCTTGAACAAGGGTAAGTTGTGAGCAGACAGTGACATGACTAGATTTTATATAATTTTTTATGTTATAAAGGATACAGACGTTAAAGTCATTTATTTAATTGACGATTGATGAATAAAGATTTTAAGAGGTTCAGTTTTGTTAATAAATTCACCATGTATGACTGGGAGCGAAAGTGACTAGCCTGTGTAACTCGTGTAGAACCAGGCCAGCCAACACATCTATGCAGTCTGATCAGGCCCTATACTAATCACTGATTAACACAATTTTCTTCATGTTATCCTTAATATTTCTAATGAACAGTCAAACAAACTGGAAGCTGGACAAGTCCTTACCAGAAATGCTGAATGTTAAGCGAAAATACAAAGTGCAAAATGAGATAAACATTCATTTCGTTACAAATTCAGAATTCAAGTTAAGAGATTTTTATGGACTTTATGATTATTAAGAAGGCGTTATTTCTGCCAGATTCTCACGAGCATTTCTTGATATGATATTAAGCAAGATATCTCTATAAATAATGCAACGTATCTGCTCACAACTTTACAGATATAACGAAGCTAAATGCATACAAGACTAGTATCTAAACGAATAGCAAGGGTTTCTATTTCAAAATAATAAAGAAACACTGTGTCTGCTGTGACATTCGAACGATTTGAAATATAAGAAGATGAAAAAAACATTTCTATGAACCACAATTGTTTTTATGTTTTGTTTCCCTTTCTTTTTTGTATATTTTTCAAGAAATCACAAATGAAAACCCTCTCATTATCGTTTGTATCAAACATAGAAAGCGTTTGTTAAACATTCCGAAAACATAGCTAAAACTGTTAAATACAACTTTTAACAGACTTTACACATACGGAACCAAATCAAAAGTAGAAATGCAAAGTATATAATGATAAAACTTAAATGATATGAAAATAAAACACCAATAAGTATGTATAGTTTTAAAAATTTCAACTGTGTTTGTATCTATTTTGTTTATGTATCTGTACTTAATGTAGTTAATTGTTCTTTGTCAACCTGAAATCACTTTGTCATACATGTACTTACTTGCACAACATAACACCGTCTCTAATGTGTGTATTGAAGACTTTCCATTCGGGCTCAGATCCTTCAGGCTTAAAAAGTAAGAAGAAAAAAATCAAAGCACTGAAGGTGCTAAAAGGATTGGGGGAATAGCAGTCGAATAAAAATGTATGGTAGCTGACAATTGCCGGCTCAAATTGATTAAGTGTGCAAATGACAATTAATAAAAATGTGCATTATCTCTCATGCCGCCCCGTAGCACCGGCAATATCATATCTTTGGATTATTTCATGTGAGCAAGTTATCAAGCTAGATGAATGTAAGTAGTTCTACTTAAGTACCCGCTCGTGTCTGAAACATTGCACGGATGTGCACCTTACATCTTCCCTCACCTGTAATGCTGGAAAGTCACCATATAGAAATACGAATTTTGCACATATCGTCCATGGCAGTACAGCGGCAATTTAACAAAATGCGAATAGTTAAAGGATATCTACACTTAATTTTTACGAACAAAATAAACCGTATCTAGCCTTTTTATTTTCTAACGTGCTACAGACGAAATAATACGTACTTTTGGAATTGGGTCATGCTCCCCTTCGCAAATTGAATTCATCCAGGAAATGACGGCTTGGGGGGTACCGGCTGCCTCTTCGCGGTCATAATTCTACAAGAAAACCAGGTAGTCTAAGCAATTGCTCCTGATAGGATTATATTCACAAACTCAATTTTCAAGAGAAGTTTAGATAAGTAAATATAATTCATAAATGAAAATCGAACATTAACGACTCATTTAACGTGTTAAAAATATTAATTAAATTGGAATATCACTAACACCAGTATCTATTAAATAAATATATCTTTATATCCGACTGAGACAGTGTTGTATATTTAATACATTTGAAAATTACGTACTTTACTATTCCTTTTCGTTATTTTCATTATTTTTGATTATTATTTCAATACAATATTTATAATTTGACCAGACATGGAGGTGATTTAAAAAGGCATCGAGAGATGTCATGTAAAATATTATTTCTGACAATCTGTTCGAGCAGACCTCACAATGATGTAATCATTGAATATTCATATAGAAAAGCGGTCGGCTCAAACTGGTTTCACTTCAATAATGTTCATCACATATGCAACTACCTGCCTCAATGAAATATAAATATGTTAACATTTAAAAATAAATGCAAAAATATAGCGTGAAACTTAATAATTAATATATTTTTACAATGTTATGACGTTTGATATTAGTGTGAAATCTCGAAAATGATTGCAATACAAACAATAACTTTGTCCACAATCAAACATAAATATGTTAAATTGAATACTAATATTCTTCTTAGTATATCTAGCTATCACGTTCATTTGAAACATTCAATCTATTTGCTTGAAGGTGTTTGAGAATTGCAACACTTATATTTTTCATTCCATAAAACAACTAAACTGAAAACCCTTAGAGAAACACTTTGGCATCTTCAATTTAAATTTGTAGAATTACGATTATCAAGATATCAAGCCTTGTACAACATTGAAACTCATTCAAATATCAATCCAAACTTCACTTTTAAAGTCTCTCAGGGGAGGGGATACGAAACAACATTGCACACTAGTCGAAAACCTCCTCTCAAAAAATATATATAAGTATTCATTATTCGAATCACAATAGTCATAGTGATACAAACAATCATTCCTATCAGTTTTTGATCATTCAAAGAAGTTGACCTGATATTTCATTCTGTCAGATTATACATAAAAAATCTATTTGTAAAGATAATCGGCGACCCGTTTTATCAAGCATTCTTACTTATTAAACGAAAATAAACAAGAAGGCGAGTTCAGTGAAGAAGCTGTCGAATGTATTTATACATGTATATGACTTACTAAAATGTACGTGTCTAATGATGTGGAAAAAAATCAAAACAAATGTTTTTTATCCATAACAAGTATTCGATCTTTAAGAATAGTTTCATTGTTATCATTTTCTTTGTCGTAATTGTCTTCATACAACTACCTCAACTGTAGTAATGAAAGACAAATTCAACAAAAAATCTACTTCATACTTAATAAGACATGTTTCAGATTTAAACTTTTTCCGAAACTTTTCATGGTCAACATAAAATGAACGTACATACTTGCATGATGTAAGTATTGTGTATTCATCATTTTTCATAGTTGTCAATTTTTATTTCAGATCACTCATCATTCTTAAAGCTTATTGTAGTAGTGTAATAATGTTAACTATTTCAAGTTAGTATAAACCACACTGTAACAAAACTCCAGCTAAGCTGAAAGCTATATTATAATGCGCAAAGAACAAAGACCAGATTGCTAACATCTGATCCGCAAGAACTAGTTCATATAAAGACACTATAGACCTTTTGTGTGTCAGAGGTTTCCACACATAGCATTAATGATCGAGCATATGAAAACTTGATGCGTTCATTGAAACTTATAAGCTTGCAAACACCATTCCCGAACAGAGGTCTTACTTGTTCCATTTTTTGCTCGACAACATAGCCGATGCCCGTCTTACCGGCTCTCAGTTTTTCACCACTCATTGTTAAATCTAGTTTGGGTTAGGTCCGGAAAAATCTTAGGGTCTGGAAAACCATTCAAATATCAAATATGAAAAACCGTTAGCTTCTTTAAAAGAAAAAAAAGGATTGAAATGTTTGGGGAAAAGCCTCCAAATACAAAAGGTTTCCATGTTAGGTAGCAGCATCTGTGCGAAGCCAACAAGACATGAAAAAAGCAACATTTGCTATAAACAAAACCGCAACTCGTTATTACTTGCTCCATCTTAATTTCGACTTCATAGCCAATTCCAATTTTGCCAGCACGAAGTTTTTCAGCCATTTTTTTCTAATATTTTGTGTTTTACCTGAAAATTAGAGACCTTGTTATTTGCATGAGAAAGCGAGAGTACAACAACATATTGACTGCACTAAAAGTTAGAGAAACGGTACTTATAAGCGTCTTTTACATATATTACCATTTCCCTACTTGAAGCCAATCAAACTACTTGTATATTATCAGTTTTATCTACAAGAAACAATCCCATACTTGTTCCAGTTTCCTCTCTACTTCGTAGGCAATTCCAACCTTCTGTACCCGATTTGTTCCCGCTTGCATCTTTTTTTATGGATTTATTTTAATTAAACAGTCCAGTTTAAATCACACTCGTCTATCTGTACTTGTGTTATATTAGTAAGTAAGCCCACCAAGAAAGGTGGATTTCGTCTTAAATGAAACACCTGCAAACAATCCAAAATATATTAACAAAAAAGATCATTTTTTCATAAAACGGATAAAAAATTAAAAACAATCATAGCAGTATAAAAAGGGAACATTTAAAGATGGGTTGGCGAGGGTCTATATAAAACTGATATGGACAAAAATGAGAAAAAGACAGAAGAAAGACTTAAAAGAATACCAAATTACTTCAAGTAATCTTGATTTTTATAGAATTTTGCGTTACAAATTAAACAATCTAAATAATAAGGGGTACTGGAAGGATTTAAAGATAACATCTGAAATATAAACAGAAAGTATTGATAATAAAGTGTAAGGGTACATTGTAAGATTGGAAAATGCTATATTTATAATTAAATGTATAAACGTAATAAATCCACAAACAGTGATAATGCACATTCACAAATGTATCAATAGATAAATTTTGCTAAATTCATACACAAAGAAAGATTCAAAAGTACTTGTTATGTTCTTTCTTATTTTATATCAGTGTTGCATTGTGTAATTAAGAGCTTTGTCAATATTTCCATAGTAAATATATATGAATAACAATTTATACTTCAAACATCTGCCAGCGATTCAAGTTGATTTAATAATTGTAATTAAAAAAAGTATGTTTGAAATGAATAAACATTTATAAGAACAAATATTTTCATAGATCCTCTTAAAATCCCAAGTTAATTTATTTCACAACACTCATTTCCTTACACTTTTAATGCTTATTTCCAAATAGATAGCTCAAAGCACAAACAAATCAGACCGTCGTTCGGACACACTTTTGCTAACTACACTTAATCCATTTATCATGAACAGGTAACCCATTCTGTGATGACACATCTCAGAAACAATTCCAGGAATCCACCACCAGCCGAACTTCTTTCAAAGCTAATCACTCTCAAGGAAATTTACATCCGCTTCTATAAATAGTTCCTCTTGGCAAAATTTGTATCGCTCTTATCAATTATCTTGTTAAATCAAAGTCTTGTAATTACTACCAATAAAATTTCCTACCTATTTTCTGTACAACAAAAAAATCCTTTTGTCACACATTGACATGATATCAGTCGACAATTTTTTTTTAATAATCAAACAACAAAATAACAACATAGATAAATGCATATAATTTGCATCTACACATTCCTAGCGTGTGGTTGCCATGGAGATTTTGAGATTTTACTCTCCAAATTATATTTCTATAAGTGAAGGAATCTCGAGTCCCACTTAATGTATTTACATATACGTTCAAGTCTAATAACCTTAGGAACCAAAACAATATATTATGGAATAGCAAAACAACACAAACAATAGCAAATATTGGAATTGGATTATTATGAGTGGATTAACATTTATGTAATACTATCTAAATATTCTTAGAACTGTTAAACAATTTGATTAAGTCCGGGTCATATTCAATAATTAAAACCTGTTCTGTTCTAATATTCCAGCTAGACATAGCATGTGATGTAAGTATAATATAAGAACTGTTTACTAGATGCAACATAAGTAAGTAAAAGCATAAGTAAACAAGTTGCCGATTTGTCTGAGATAAGAATGAAAGATGAGATTATGAGATGAGATAAAGAGATAATAATTTTCATATATAATTGATGCATAAGTGATAACAGTTATAAATTTGTACCCTGCTGATTGCCTGTAGTAGATTTGCAAAGCCTTGAATTGGGATCTGTCAGTTCAAAATTAAAGTTGTTTCAATATTTAAATGTACAAAACTGAGGCATCAACACCATAGAACCTGGTCAAACTGCACGGATATGCACGCAGACCTGGCTCTATGGTGGCTTAGACAAATTCTTTCAACTCTTTCATGTAAAAGGAAACAAATCAGAAAATATTTGTTAATCAGTTAATCTGTTATCAGGTTAAAAAGTTTTAGTGCACTGTCCTGGTTTCTGCTATACATGTTCTGTTTTAATGCTTGTACATTATGAAAACCACGCAGTCATTATAAAATAAGAAAATTCATTAATATTTTAATCTCACTGTTCTAGAGCAAATGATATGAAAAAAAAGATCTATATTTGTTGTTGTTGCGTTTTGCCGGAAAAGATTATCGTTCCAGGGCTGATTGGGTTTAAAAGATATAATTATATCAATATGTAACTGGAAACGTTAAAAGAATCAGTGCAAACATAAAGGTAAGTGCGCTCTTGTTTGCTTATGTTAATAAAGTACATACTGTGCGATACGTTGTGGTGTTTAATTGTGGGTGTTTGATAACGATCATTTAACCTGCGTTATATCAGTTTTATTTCAATAGGACTATGGTAAAGTGTATAAATAGTGTAATAGTTAAGTACAGTGATACTTTCCTGTCGGAAATTTTGAAAGAAATATGTCTGAAAGGATGCCGCCTAAATTGTAGACAGAAAATAAGACTGATAATTGCACTCAATCATATAGATGCAAAATTTGTAGATTTGAAATAAGAATGATAAATGCATAACATAACATAACATATTCGTTATTTGGCATAAAATGACAATACACATTTATAGCCAATACAATTAACAGTCATGTAATGGAAGAACATGATATATAATATAAAGACCTTAACGAATTTGAATGTTTTACAGAGAAAGTTCTTGGTGCTACAAAATTTGAATAAATTTAAGTTCCTGTTATCTATTCTTGTAATGGAAGAACATGATACATAATATAAAGACCTTAACAAAGTTGAAATGTTTTACAGAAAGAAGTTCTTGGTGCTACAAAACTTGAATAAATTTAAGATACTAACTGTTGTCAGTTCTTTCTTTAAATGAAAAAAAAAATTTTGACAAGTGAATAAATTTAAGATACTAACTGTTGTCAAAAATACAAACATTTTTGACAAAATACTAACTGTTGTCAGTTCTTTCTTTAAATGAAAAATACAAAAATTTTGACAACTGAATAAACTAAATACAGTCATGATAATATATATAAATATGATTTTTATTATTAAAAACAATTACTGTTATAAGTTTAAGTTAAACATAAAACATTCAGCGGATTGTTAAGTGGTTTCAGTATGTCAATTGATTGATACTAAACAATATTATAATGAGATCTCTAATTAGATGACTGAAACAAACAAACAAACAACAACAAATGTTATTTTTCTTTGTCTACTGATGTAAAACTAAAGACAGTTCGATAAACAGAGAAATGCTTTGATCCCATTTCAAATAAACATTATTGTTATATTGTTATGACGATATATGTCAAACTATAATCTTAGATCAGTAGAACGTTCGAGGATCAATGACTCACACAAGGCTATCGTGTATTCTCAATGAGTCTTACTATAAGATATGCAACACTAAAAGACTAAAAGTTACAGGTAGATTTGGAGGATCGCCTAGGAAAATTGGCAGCAGAACATCACTGCAGAGCGGAAGAATTTTTATGGTATGCAATGTGCAGAATAAGCAAATATAAACATACCTACTCAACATTATGTAATCTACTGATTTAAAATTTTAAAAGACTAAGGTTTGTAGTGCAAATGTAAGATGGTTAATCAAAACTAAAATAACAAATTAATGTTAACATTTATTGCTTGAAACGAAGGTATCGATTTGAACATATAAAAAAGATTGCAAGTATCGAAAACAGTTTGAAGCCTCACGAACAACTAAATTTAAGAGAATACTAGAGAAAGCACATTCAATTTAAAAGGACCAAATGACAAATTATAACAGAGAAAATAAAAGAAATAAACAAACATATCAATCGAAAATAATGCATTTCTAACTTTTTATGACAGAATGCAGCCATTAAAGAATACAACGAGTCCAAACAAAGTGTTCAAAGTCTTTGCTGGAAGCTTTTTACAGCGTACTAGTTACAGTGGTAACCTCTTATCGTACAACTATTAGCCATTCTACTTTACTATAAGCTTTGATTATATTTATTTGATAATGTTTCTTGATCAGCAATTGAAATGTTTTATAAGAAATGCAATTTCATTATGATTTAAAAATGCAAATATCGTTGATGAAAACTATTGGTAAAGAATGTTCACTTACCAATCAAGCGTTGTTGTTTTCCTTCCTGTTTCCGTGAATGCACTCTATTCCTCGCTGATTATTCGGAGAAAGTCAGCCGTCTGTATACACTCTAATATAATGTATAGGTACTTCCAGCATTCATTTGACGTGGTTACCTTTTATAGACAACACGTGCCATCTACGATACCGCCACTAGCCGGAACAAACCGCGCACAGACGCGCACGCACCTGTAATACGAGCCAAGCGCGCGCCTGTTCCGTTTATCATACAGGTACTTTCAGATTCGAAAATAGCTAGATTGAAAAATGCTGTGGTTTTATGTTCTAAGTTTACGGGGAACTGGGAAGGCTAGACGAAAAAAAAAAGAAATTCCAATGTGTTTGGTTTTCTTTGACCCAGTTGGTTTCAGCTTAAAAGCAATAGTATATTTTTCGTATATCTGATTCTAAATCTTCTTTGAATTCTAATTATTTCTTAATATGATTCTCATTTAAGTATTAAATAATAATTCTGTAATTGATTGGGTTGTTGTTTCAACAGTTTGCCTTTTCTTATACCTTTGGATTCTATTGAATTTCGCAATTTAAGCGGATTCGTTTTAAATTGTCTTAGTTCAACGTGTTTAATAACGAATTTGCAGGAAAACATGATAATCTGTAACTAAATGTCTAATGATAATCTGAAATGTTGTTTCTTTTGTAAAATTAAGCTTACTTAGGAATCCATTTACTATTTTCTGCTTTTCTGCTTACTGTCCTAAGGCTATTCACCTGAATATTTGCAGCTGGAACTTAGATAAGATATATTATCATAAGTCAACAATAAATGTTCTTACAAATGAAAATGTAATGTAAATATAGAACTAATATTTTTGTATGGGAATATCTAAGAAACTGATATATAGCATTGTAAACAGGCACACGCTATATATAATCTATGGCTAATTAAACATTTTTAACAAAAATATTTAGTAGTATGTAAGTGGGAAGACAAGTATAATGACTTCTGAATAATTTGTTAAGGCATCTAATTACCTGATAAGACCAGTAACCATAGAGAGCGACTCATATTTAATTGCTTCGACTTGGAAACAGCTGGGCAACAAATGTTACTTTGGGTAAACATTGAGTCAAACAGGCTAATTGAAATGAAAAGGAAAAAGAAAAAAAAGAAACAGTTTATAATGATAAAACGTTGCAAACAATAATTATTATAAAATGTTGTGCCCACGCTGGACACTTCTCGACCTTTGGCCGCGTGTTTACTAAGAAAAGATCAGGATCAGGATCAAATGATCCTCATTTTATTTTCATTGTTTTATCAAATTAAAATTTTGTCGTATTTTGCTAGAATATAATGGTACTTAATGAAAATGTAAAAGTTGCTGATTTGCAAAGAAACAAACCTATTTTGGAATAAAATCGACGAAAAACAAAACAAAATCAGAAATAATCAGGTTAGATAAGGATCAATTATAGGATCAAGACCACTATTTGGATCCACTGTAAAATGCCCATATCTTGCAAAAATAACAATATACTTATTCTAAAATTTCATAAACATGACATTTCAAGTCCAATTTTATCAAGTTAATATTAAATATTTTATCTATGAGGATAAACAAAAGGAGAATATTTGAGTTTTTATATTTGATCCTGATCTTGATCCTGATCCTTAATTTTTTGTGAACACAGGGCCAGGATATATCTTTAATTAAATCATAATTAATTGGCGAACAAGTGAAAGTATTTACAGCATTATATTATTAATTAGGGTTTTTTAATGATATATTGTAGCATGTAAACATGTAGCGCAAACATAGAATATAAACACACATGATAGCCCACTGTATTCAGTTATTAAGGATTCAGTCAAATGGTATTCCACATGCAGCTTAGGTTTCTTGGATTGTTGCCCCATAGTAAACCCTAATAGAAATTTCTTACGCAACAATGTTAAAAAATGTTTTTCATAGAAATGGTTAAGTTACATAATGTGCCGGTCCTTGCTCCGCCCGTGTGATATCTTTTTTGTTCGTTGTCATACTTAGTGTTTTAACAATGGTTCTGCCTGGCTGCGTTAAGTGAATTTCGCCATTTCTTTGTTGATCCTTCCTTTCATATTTTGAGATATATTTAAATTTCACAAGAACTGATGTGTGAAGGAAATAATCTGCTCGTGAAAAGATGTGTGATTTAAAAATATATTTATCGTATTTAATAATTATTTAACACGAGTGTTATTTTATAAAATTGTTATCATATTCAATAATGATTTAACACAATTGTGATAAAAAATACATTTATCGTTTTTAATAATTATTTAACACAAGTCAAACTGTTCTAACAAAACTTATAAATGGTGAAAAAAGAGAACCGCTCAGCCGGCGCTACGGGGCTTGATGGAAGTTGCACTTTATATTATTCCTCATGTAAAAACTGAATCTTCAATTTTCATGTAATTTTGTTGGGGTTAATGCTTCCGAGGAATCACTCTGCCAGATTTTTATATGTGAATCGCATATAATTTCGGAAGTTTTCACGTCATTGGTATACATTCGACATTAGACACGTGATTGTTTGTCACATTTTTTAAGTATTGCTTATGAAAAGCTAATATTGCTTTGTTGAAAAACACAGTTTATTTAGAATGCAACACTAACTTTCATTTTTGATGCCAAATGGGCCTTTGCTGGTGCGCCCGTTAATGCTTCAGTAATTGAATAGGGCTTGAGACATGAATCGTTGAACATTTCACAGAAACATTTACGTAAATGATGTCCAATTGGCTGATAGATGTGTCCAGTTATTTTTTCGCTTCATTTCAAAAATTATTCGGCAACAGTTGCTGTCATAATGTAAACGGAAGACTTCGTTAATAGTTTTGTATTCATTTTAACGTTGTTTTTTTTGCTTGTTTTTCTTTGTTCATTCCTTTTGGATTTTGTACTTTACGTTAACTCACTTCAATGAGATTTTTCAGGCGACGTGTATTAGGTATCGATTTATTTATAATGTCAATAATCCACCATAATTATAACACAAGGAAAATGTTGGTGTATTATAAGTGTCTGTAAGTGTACATTTTATTTAAAATTTGTGGTAGCTGAGTAAAGACAATGAATTTTTCTAAAAAATATATAAAATAACAAGTTACTTAAATTATTAATTGTTTCGACTGTAAATGTCTCTATATTTAAGGAAGATCATATCATTTCTATACCAATTTCAAATTCGCAGTGTTAAAGATCCTGTAACTCAATTTTCTTATGGCTTTATGTCATAAACCTGATGCTCAAATAATGATTTATCAATATTGTAAATTCCAAAAAGCATTATTTGTAATGATATTACCAAATTTACATTTCATGTAAATTAAGGGAGGTAATTAGAAATCTTTTTTCGATAAAGTCTAAGCCAAAATGATTAATGATTACTTATAATGCGAATAAACATTTGCAGTAAATATTTAACATATTCTTGGATGTTTGGAAATTGTTTTACAAGAATAATTAACATATATAATTTTTTTTTTAAATGTTGTTACATTTGCAGGATCTTTATGTCTATCTTATTAACACACAGTCTGCATGTTTCATTACATTCCACAAATATAGGCTGTTCTGTAACAATTGTTTCCGCCTTTGCCGTATAAGAAATTAATTTTATACGGAAATTGAGGGAAAATAACGGAATTTGCCGAAATATTACGAACAAATATTGATGGGCAGAAAACGTTAATTTTGCAATTTTTATGATGATATTTTCATGTGTGTGTTATTTAGAGAAGTATGTTGGTGATACGTTTGAAGATATGAGTAACTGTAATTTTTGAGGTATCTAAAGATGTCTTTAACAGATGTCTTTACCTGAGGGCGTTATAAGAATATTATATAAAAATTTCTGCCTACACTTCCTATTTATTACAATAGTTATTATACGAGAAAATAAATGTAAAATACTTCTATTATCATTCTTGGAACATTTATGTATAAAGCAACAAAAAACAACAAAAAGCACAAAGAATGGTAAAACTTGAATAGCATAGGGTATTGACATAATATAATTACTATAATTCTCATCATATTCAATGTGTATGGAAAATTAATTAGATGAAACAGCATCCCGTGGTAATCATCTGAAGGTAACTTTACCCTTCAAAAAATACCCGCATTCGTCACATTTGTTTGAAATATATTAAAACAACTCTTGAGGTTTGTGAGAGCAATTCTATTTTGAGAATGTTCATTAAGAATTTTGAGGGTAATACTAATCAAGATTTGTGAGTTAAGTTCTATTTTAAGAGTGATCGTGATGACTAGTACTAGTTGCTAAATTTTATGGGTTTACGACATTACATCGGATTACGACAATTAAAAGACGGGACATAATAATTATAGAATGAACAAATGATTGAGAGTGACAGACGGTCGACAAATATTTAAACCTAAGACATTTTACCGAATAATGAAGCGCATTATTTTCGACATAGTGTTACACTTATAATTCATCACTGGTCTATTCGATTATATAATATATAAAGAATAAGTAGGTTTGTCTATCATTTAATCTGGATAAAACAAATCATCATTTGCTTTTCAGGAAAATTTCTAAATAATTGACTGACTGAAACGCTATGGTCAGATGGCGGGTTGATTTTCGTCTGCACTGGCCACATGGGTAGATTCACTTGCCGCCAGCAGGTGAAAGATTAATGGTATTTCACTGACGTTTTTGGTAAGACAGATCTCGAAATAAGTTTTCAAGATAAATATGCCATTTGATGTAGGTATAACCCAATTACTGCTATGTAAACTTTCATATTATTCTGTTACTTCGTTTTTTCCAGTATAATTATTTAAATTGTGAAAAATAACCCAAAATTGAAAAGCGTTTTTCACTTAAACTGCCCAAAGAATAGCACACAAAATATGCTCTATGATATTTTTATTTAATTCTGTGTATATTTCTCTATTATCTTTTGCATATCTTGCTGTCTTAAATGTCCCCGCTGATCTATGTATAATTCAAATTTGATGTTTTAGTCTTTGTACCTCAGTTGAGTTCAGTTTGATGTGCTGGGGCAGTTCTATTCAAAGAGAGCTCACTTAGGTTTGTGAAGGCAAATGTATTTAAGATTGTTCAGTAAGGTTTGTGAATGCAAATGTAT